TGCTCTCCACCTCCAAGAGATAGTTATTATCCTGATTTCTATTGCCATAGATTAGACTGCTTCTGAAACTTCTTATGAAAGGACTCATAGTGTATTCTTTCATTTTATTATAATTCTAAACTAACCACCACTCCTTACTAAAGAGACCTGTAGCTTCTCAGACTTTGGACTCCATCACATCTGATTGGACGCCTTGGATGTGGACTTTGGACTCCTCTTCCATACTGCTTGTCACGAGTTGTTTCTTAACCAAATCAATTGTTGAAAACTCCGCTTCCCAAACATACTGTCATAGAAACAAATGTAGCAGAGTCTAATGGCTAAACTGCAAACTACTTCCAGCCAGTAGTTTCCACAGCATCCAACACATGTTAAGTGTCACTGTGTTTCTTTCCAATATTTAAAATATCCCACTGTGCTTCTACCTGCTGCGGCACCCAAGGGTTCCTCACACAAAGTTTGGGAACCATGGCCTAGGCTCTTTTCTTCAATTGGATTTAATATTCTCTCTCAGCCTCCAGGCTCAACTCAAATGCCACCTCTTCCGTGAAGAGGTCCCCACTGGCCAAAAGCAAACCATATCTACACCAAATTATTTCTCCAGCTGGAATGAACATTTCTTCCTCTGGGATCCCTGGCAATTTAACGGGTAAAAAGCAAGAATTGTTCTCTGATACCCAAGATGTAAACAATGTCATATTTCTTTATTTCTCGGAATTGAATACAGTCTGGTGGAAGCCCCTGCTGTTTGCGGTTGCTGAGACTTCATGTGAAGGGTACTTCTGTGTGGCTTTCCCTTGGTTCCTGGGCTGTATCAGGGCTATGGGACTTGCACAGTTCCCGGCAAAACTGACCTGTTCACACCAGCTGTGTTCAGAGGCTGCCACCACAGTGCTCACCAGTCCAGTCAAAAGTGGCCCTAATCTGCTGCCCCAGAGCAGGCTGAGCAGAGGGACTCATTCCTGGCTCTCAAGGTCATGCGGGAAGGTCCTGATGCTTGGTGCCCAGGCTCTCACACCCCACCCCCCAAAAGCCCTAACCACTCAGGGAGCCTATGTGCATGTGGGCTAAGTCAGTGCCCCTCAGAATCTGCTGCTTGGGGGAATCCAACCTCCCCCTTGGGAAGAGGTTATTAGTTCCCCAGAGTTTGCATGCAGGCAATGGCACCCCACTCCAGTACTCTTGCCTGGAAAATCCCATGGATGGAGGAGCCTGGTGGGCTGCAGTCCATGGGGTCACTAAGAATTGGACACGACTGAGCGACTTCACTTTCACTTTTCACTTTCATGCATTGGAGAAGGAAATGGCGACCCACTCCAGTGTTCTTGCCTGGAGAACCCCAGGGACGGCGGAGCCTGGTGGGCTGCCGTCTCTGGGGTCGCACAGAGTCGGACACGACTGAAGCGACTTGGCCGCCGCAGCAGCAGCAGCAACCTGGGGGCTTAATGTGGCCCTCAGATGTGTTTTGTTCAGCCAGTGTGATTTATTAAAAATATTCTTTAATCCATTACAACACTTCAACTTACTGGGAGATGTTGAAATTTTTACAGTTATGATCCTTGGTGATTCCATATACAGCCGTGGTTGGGGCTTGAGTTTGGACCTCTTCCTTCCCATCCCCACAAGGCATGTGTTTCCCCTTTAGCCACATCTATGGTTACGTCTGCCTGGCCCCTACAGGCCTTTGAGTTTGACCCTCTGGCCTAAGCTTGGAAAAACAAAGCCTTTTAGGTACTGTATTCCGACCTCAAACAAACACAAAAAAACCTGTTAACATTCTTTCCAGCAAGGGTGTACCAAACTGAAGCACTCCAGGCTCTGCGGCTCTTTGTAGGTGTCGGGTGGGGGGGTGGGTGGGTGGCTGAGCTAGAGACAATTACTTTTTCATTCTCTGCCAGTGGAACTACAGCAACTAAAAAGGCAGGACACCGATGCAACACTCCAAAACTGTATTCAGCACTGATTTACGCAGACTCGTTTTGTCATTTTTAACGATATATGGTTGCTTACAGGTATTGGGTCTTTGATAGTTTCTCGCTACTAGGTAAAGAACCTTATAAACAGTATTTTGTTGAATTCTTTAGAAAACGCTTCTGAAAGAATGCAGTATAATCTAAAGGCCCAGACACCAGGAGGAGGGAGTGGGGTTGAACGCAGGGTGAGGGGAGATGCAACATAGAAGTAGAAGGGAGGCAGGTGCAAGCCCGAAACTGTCGAAGAGGCTCGGACTCAGGACCCAGGGCACCTCAGTAGGCCCGTTGTACGCGGGGGGCCCAAATCAGCAGGTCTGGTGGAGGCGGCTGCACTCAGCTGCTTTTGCCTTTCCCGCCCCATTGCCTACTCTTAGGTCCCTCTCTCACCGCCCCCAGCCCCCCCGCCGCCCGCCCTCATTCTAGGTCTCTCCACGCGGCTCCCTGTCGCCATTCCCTGACCCCCAGCTTCTCCCCTTTCCGTTCTGCATCTGTCTCCCCACCTGCCCGGCTCCTGGCGCAGTGGCAGAGCCGCAAGAAGGCTCCCCGCCGTCACCTGACTCGAGAGTAAATCACAGGACTCTGCCCACCCCCAGCAGCTGGCCGGCACCCGGCTCTGCAGAGGCTGCAGGCCGCGCATGCGCAGCTGCCAGCGCACCTGTCCGCCGGGCGGGCGGGGCCTCGAACCAGCCCGGGGCACCGAGGGTCCGCAGCCTCGCCCCGCCCTCAGGTTGGCTGGGGGCGCGGGGTATGGACCCGCGTGGGTCCAGACTCCGAAGAGGTTGCGGTCCACGCATCCAAACCTGTCCTTAAGTCAGGACACTGGGGCTGCGCCTGGGCGCTGGACGTTCTCCCCTGGGCTTCAGAAAGTCAGACCACAAGTCCCGCATTTGCGTTTAGAGCCGTGTGACCTTGGGCAAGTGACTTGACCTCCGTGTGCCCCAGAAAAACGGAATAATAATAGCTCAGAGATGTCAAGAGGTCTTGAGCCAGGTCTTGCGTTCCACCGAGAGATTCCAATCTGACACTCCTAAGTCAGGGGTTCCGGAGTGAGTTCACAGTCTGTCACCCCACTCGCTTTCCCAACCATCCTATTTAAAGCAACATCTGTTCTGATTTCTGCCATCCCTAGTAAACATCTCAGGTACACATCGTTAGGAAAGAATTTCTTTCTTTGCCCTTTCTCTTACAGGAAATAGGAGCTGCTGTGTTTTATTTTCTGCGGCCTTTGAAGAGGTCTCCAGGCAGATTCCAGGCTACCAGAAAGTCCTGGATCTTTGCAGCAAGGCCTACCCTGGAGCTTTCCTTCCACGCTGTCCCTGACAGTCACATTAACCCCTCTCTGTTCCTGGAAAAGTCAAACTCATTTCTGACACCTTCTGTGTATCTTCCTAGGACACTCGCCCAGTTCCCTCTTGCCACCTTTTGCTCATCTCAAGAAGCCCACCCTGACTGCACCCTACCTGGTCCACTGGGTCAGGTGCTCTGTCATTCACTCTCAGAACCTCTGTCCTTCAGCTTCAGCACTTACTAGAACTCCTTGAGTCCTGTCTGAATCCTAAGCTAGATTACCAGCTCCTTGAAGGCAATGTCTGTTGACACGTCAAGGAGGGAGCACATGGCATCAGAGGTGTGTCCTAGGTCCCCGCAATTTACAAACTATCTGCTACTTTTCCAAAGGCAGCCCAAGGCTATCAGTACCTTCCCTGGGTAAAAAGCAGAGCCCAGATGTGAAGAGATGACAGATAAATACTTTCCCTCTCTAGGAACCCATAGGAAGGTTCTGTTAGGGTACACTGGGGTGAGGATGAGAAGATGGTTAGATCTTCCTGCCCTGGGGCTGGTGGCTGAACTAGGACGTGTGGCCCCTTGTTCTGGCTTTTCCAGTGTTCACTATGGGACCTTAGGAATGTCCTTCTCTAAGCCTCAACTTCTTTAGTTGTCAGTAGAAAATAATGGTTCAGAATTCAGATTTTAAAATTAGATCTTTCCTTTGTCACCTATTAGCAAGGCACTTATCTTCCCTGAGTCTCAATTTCCTCATCTCTAAAATGTTATATTTCTTAACAATATTAAGAAAAGGACTTAGCTCACAGAGCTGTTCCAAGAATGTGATGAGTATTCATTGATTTTTAAGACTAGTTCTCTTGTCCTTTTTGACTTTTGATTGGCTCAACTCATTTTTCTTTGAAGTCAGAGAGGAGCCCTGTCTCATATTTCAAAAGCAATCTCCCCCATAAGTTAAATCTAGCAAAAACTGACATGGGACCACTTTGGTAAATGTGGACTCTAGGAAAGATATACTGACCAGAGTTGTCCCACAGCATAGTCCTATTCAATTTGGCACCTAGGTATTTCTAGACTTTGGTTGCCCAAAGACTAGGATTATGTCTGCCTTGTACACGGTTGGAGATCCAATGCCTAGAATAGTGGTTTACATACAGTAGTTGAGAGAAAAATAAATATTTGCTAATGAATGATGCACAACCTAAGACAAAGTCTAGTGCTCAGTTTCTGAGCCTATTTTTTTTTCACCTGAAAATGGAGATTAAAAACAATGTCCAATTATTGTGAGGATTTAATGAGCTGATGCATGTAAGAGCTCAGTGGATGGTGGATTTATGGATATGGGTACCCAAATAGAGATGGTGTCAATAAAGCTCACGTTACATTGTCATGGGGAGTGGATACTACAAATAAGAGATCTAGCCTCCGAGTTTCTTTTGTGGGCGAGGGGGAGTGAAGTGGGGGTGATGGAAAGCTCCCAGGAGGCCGGGGATTCAGGTGCGGAGGCTGCGGAGAGGACCTTAGGACCCAGCGCGCCGGGAGCGCGCGGCGGCCGGGCCGCGCGCGCGGCGCGTGAGGTGAGGGGGAGGGCGCGGCTCTCTCGCCAGCCAGGGACGGCCTCGCGTCCAGCCGCATCTCGGGGGGCGGGGCCGAGCCTCCGGGCCGCAGTGCGATTGGCGGAGGCGCGCGGGTGACGCCGACGGCGGTGCGAGACCCCGCCCCTCCCGCCGGGCCCGCCCCCGAGCGCGCGCCGGCGGGTCGGCAGCCTCGCTCTGGCTTGGCTCGAGCCGCGCTCCCGCGCCGCGCCCGCGCGTCAGTCGCTCCCGAGCCGCGGCTGCAGGGGCGGCGGGCGGCATCCAGCAGAGCGCGCCGACGACCCGGGGAGGCGGCGGTGTCCGCGGCTTCGCGTGAGGAGGCCAGGAGCCCAGAGACTCGCGCGGCGCGATGGCCCCCATCGGCCTCAAGGCGGTGGTCGGAGAGAGTAAGTGGAGTCGGGTTTCCTCCCCGCAGGCGACGGCTACGGCTGCCCGGGGGAAGCCGGGCTAGGTACCTGCCCGCAGCTCGGCCCCCCCGCCTGCCCGCCGCCTCCGCTCTCGCCTCTCGCCCCCCGCTCGGCCTGAGGCTCCCGGGTTGGGAGGGTGCCGTTATCCCGGCGCCGTCTTCTTCGGAGGGAAGTCCCTCCCGGCCTCCTGCGGCCCTCGTCCCTTCTTCCTCCGCTCAGCTCTTCCCGCATTCCTTCTCCTCCCCCCCCCCCCCCCCCCCCCCCCCCCCCCCCCCCCCTCGATCTTTACCTGCATCTCCCTCCACCCCCATCGCTCCACGTCTCCCCCATCACTTCGCCTTTAACCCCCACTGCGGCCTGTTATCCTCCCCTCCATCCCCCTCCTTCACCGCGAGTGCCTTCTCCCCATTTCCCCCTCTCCTTCCCCTCGCCTTCTTTATTCCCCCAAGCTCCTCGATTCCACTCCTCTTTCCATCCTCAGTCCCTCCCTCTTTCCCACCCTCCTCCTTGGAGTCGTGACGAGCCAGATCTCGGCCTGCGTCCTCCTGCCCGCTTCCCTCTAGATCCCTCCCCGGGAGCCGGAGCCGCGGTCCCCGGCCGCAGAGACCCACCTGGGAGCGGCGGCTCCGCGCGCCGCGGGGCTCTGGCGCACCGCTCGCTCGCCCAGGGGCCAACTCCTGACAGCGGGAGAGAAAGCCTGTTTGTTTCCAAAGGCTTCGCTCTGCCGGGGCCGAGGCCACCCGGCTCCTCCTCCAGAGCCGGGGTCTTGGCTTCGAGGGCGGGGTCTTCTCAGGGTCCTGAACAGTCTTCAATCACCTGGGAGACTGGGAGAGCTCTAGGATGCGCGAGAGGAGTGGCCCTGCCCGGCACCGCAGTCTGCGGTCTGCCAGTTCGCAGGATTCAGCCGGGGCTTGATTTCGGGCTGTGCAACCCCCTCTTGCAGGGAGGAAATGGTCGTTCTTGGGTTTGGATGAAAGGCTCGACTTAAGTGGATTTTTAAAAAATGGATGATGGAGATTGTGGGGCTGCAGCGGAGTGAGGGCTGACGGTGGTCATATTTGGAAAACGGCGTCTTTGGTGCTAAATAAGCTTGGCGATCTTGTGTAGGCAAATAGTGCCTCTTCAATATTTTGCCCGTTATCTTTAACAGAAAACGGGAGAGGATTGCTGTGGTTTTTGCCATCTTTTTTGGCATCGAGAGAGAATTAAAAGTGGACTTTTCTCTGTGGGAGAGGATAAGAAAGGAAATAGAAGAAAAATGGTGGAAATGACCGTTTCCTTTCCAACGATTCTCTCCAATTAGAGCAATTCCTCCCTTTCTGAATGTCAGATTGGATTTTTGACTGTGATGCTCCTTTTGGGCATCACTATATCTTCTTATTCACTCTTTACGTTGATATATACAAAATTTTCCCTGTTATACAACCTTATCTGACCTATTACTACAGGAGAAAATTGTTATAAACACTGAAACCCAAATGAGCAAGTTTTTTAAAAAAGTGCCCACGACAACACCTGCCTACCCCATTCGGTAAAGGTTCCAGATCACGTACGTTCTATTTTAAAGGCCAATCAAAGCGCTTAGGGTTGGAAGGACCCCTAGGGATCTTCTAATGTCAGTACCCTCATTTTACCCGTGGGAAAGAAATGGAGGCTCAGAGCAGTTAAATGACTTGCCAAAATCGGCGTTAATTAATTTCCTAAAACCTGGTGTCCATTTCCTTGCAACATTAGTTAATAATAATAATAATAATAATAATAATAACTTGCTTCATTTTTCTAGGTATACCATTTCCTTCCAATATGCTTTCTAAAGGGTTGTGAAATAAGGAATGTTATGTTGAATGTTGCATTCTTTCTAATGTTATATTCGAATAAGCTGCTTTTAAAACAAAATCCTTGAAGCAAGTGTTCTGGAAATCACATTTCTGTGTTCTTTTACTGTGATGCTTGTTCATGCAGGTAGCTTCCCCCCCGCCCCCCCCCAACAGCTTTTCTTAGAAGCAAGTATCAAAAAAACACCAATATGCCATATGGTCAGAATTTATTTTCTGAAATAAAGCCACTGTTTACAAAAAAAAAAAAAGCTAATTTTACTTAAAATTGGTGAATGTGTAAACAGCATTCTATTTCTATAACAACTGACTTAGGTAAAAATTTTGGAAAAAATATTTTTGCAATTCTTTGTCAGTGACATAAAGAATTCTGTTAACTTTGACTCCTAATTTTGGAAGGGTTTCTAGTTTTGCTTTTTTCCTCTAAAAAAATAAACCAAAGATTTTTTAAACCAACGTCCCAGTTTAAACGTCACCTTCACAACCTGGTCTTCCCAATCTAAAAATTAACACCTCATAGTCACTGTTTATCATACTCCCTAATTTTATTTTTTTCATTGCACTTAAAATTATATGAAGTGATATTATTTAGTTTTTTGGGTTGTTTTTTGCTTTTGATACTTGTTTGATTGTTTCATCCCCTTGAATGTTGCTTCTGGGAGAGCATGGGTCTTTATCTAATATATTCATCCCTGTTCAGTTCAGTTCAGTTCAGTTCAGTTCACTCAGTCGTATCTGACTCTTTGCGACCCCATGGACTGCAGTATGCCAGGCCTCCCTGTCCATCACCAACTCCCGGAGTTTACTCAGACTCATGTCCATTGAGTTGATGATGCCATCCAACCATCTCATCCTCTGTCATCCCCTTCTCCCACCTTCAGTCTTTCCCAGCATTAGGGTCTTTTCAGATGAGTCAGTTCTTCACATCAGGTGGCCAAAGTATTGGAGCTTCAGCTTCAGGATCAGTCCTTTCTGTGAATATTCAGGACTGATCTCCTTTAGGATGGACTGGTTGGATCTTCTTACAGTCCAAGGGACTCTCAAGAGCCTTCTCCAACACCGCAGTTCAAAAGCATCAATTCTTGGGCACTCAGCTTTCTTTATGGTCCAACTCTCACATCCATACATGACTACATGATTCATCCCTGTATCCCATACCAAAAATTGTCGGTGGCTGGTCATAGTTGGCTGTCAATAGATATTCATAGAATGAATCAGTGTTTTTAAGGATATGATCGAGAGCAAGATAAATGTAGTTTGTGGCTTCTTGTCATATCTTTCCTGCCGTATCTTTCAATGGACATGAGTCTGAGTAAGCTGCAGGAGTTGGGGATGGACAGGGAGGCCTGGCGTGCTGCAGTCCATGGGATCGCAAAAGTCGGACACGACTGACCGACTGGACTGAACGTAACTGAGCAGGGATGAATATACTAGGTAAAGACCCATGCTCAGTGGGTGACAATAGGTACAGGTACAACAAAAGTAGAGGATATGGGTCAGTGTTAGCTGTTCATTCAACAAAGATCTGTTGAGAGCCTGGTAGGGATTATGTGGTAATACCGGGACACTCAAACATGGGACCATCTCACACTGTTGTGACAGACACAGACAATCTTCCCTCTTTCCTGTCACTGTGCTGACACATGGTATAACCAGTTATCATGCTTCTTTGTGTTGGTCTCACCCAACTAGACCAGAAGCTCTTTGAGGGGAGAATAGGATCTCCTCTTACTCTTAAATCTGTCTTTAGTATGACAGTTAGTACTTTGTCCTCGTAAATGTTGGGTGAATGTTGGATGAATCTTTATGTATAGTGATTCAGAGAAAGAACTCTGGATTTGGACCACCTGGAATAAAATTCTGGTCTACTACTATTAGCTGTGTGGCTTTGGGAAATAATAGAATCCTTTTTTGCCTCAGTTGCTCCATCTATAAAATTGGTAATAATAGCACCTACCTTGTGTGGTTCTATGAGTTTTAAAAGAAATAGTGTGGGTATAGCATCTAATACAGTTCTTGATGCTTTTGAACTGTGGTGCTGTAGAAGACTCTTGAGAGTCCCTTGGACAGCAAGGAGACCAAACCAGCCAATCCTAAAGGAAATCATCCATGAATCTTCATTGGAAGGGCTGATGCTGAAGCTCCAATACTTTGGCTACCTGATGTGAACAGCTGACTCATTGGAAAAGAGCCTGATGCTGGGAAAAATTGAGGGCAGGAGGAGAAGAGGGTGACAGAGAATGAGATGGTTGGATGGCATCATCGACTCAGAGTACATGAGTTTGAGCAAACTTGGGAAGATAGTGGAGGACAGAGGAGCCTGGTGTGCTGCATGCAGTCCATGGGGTCGCAAAGAGTCGGACACAACTTAGCGACTGAACAACAAAACAGTTCTTTTAGTCAATCTTATCATTATGACAAGATCCACAAGAGTGTCAGTACAAGTGTTAGAGGATTTCAAGAAGAGATAGGCTACCTATATCCTGTGGGGCCACAGTTTTGGGGGAGAAAGTGAAGTCTTGGGTAAACTTCCTGTGTGAGGTGCAGATGAGCTGGAAAATGGAAGAATAGACCTAAAGAACATATGGATGATTAATAACCACACCCAACTTTTGTTTCCCATTCTGCTCATTTCTTTACTTTTTCCCCTTTAATTTCTTTCTATAAATGTAGGGTTTTGTTTGTTTTTTTCTGCTCTCTACTTTGTAAAGAGACTGCAAGAGAAAGGAGAATTTCATTCCCCCTCCTTCCCCGCCAGGCATTCTGTCTGTTTCTGCTGCTGCTGCTGCTAAGTCACTTCAGTCGTGTCCGACTCTGTGTGACCCCATAGACGGCAGCCCACCAGGCTCCCCCGTCCCTGGGATTCTCCAGGCAAGAACACTGGAGTGGGTTGCCATTTCCTTCTCCAGTGCATGAAAGTGAAGTCGCTCAGTCATGTCCGACTCTTAGCAGCCCCATGGACTGCAGCCTACCAGGCTCCTCTCTGCCCAAGGGATTTTCCAGGCAAGAGTACTGGAGTGGGTTGCCATTGCCTTCTCTGATTCTATGTCTATGTCATGTTAATGGATGATGCTTCAGTTATGTCAATCCATGCTGTAATTTACAAATCCAAGTTTTACTTTTGTTCCCTGAAGTTTTGTCAGA